AGGGTTAGGTTTAGGGTTTGGGTCAGGTTTAGGGTTAGGTTTAGGGTCAGGTTTAGGTATAGGGTTAGGTTTAGGGTTAGAGTCTGGTTTAGGGTCAGGGTTAGGATCAGGTTTAGGGTTAGGACATCGTTTTTCTTCCAATTTCGTACAGACAGCAAACTTTCGTTTCCACTTACGAAAGCTGCTAGTCACATGACCTAATCAAAATGGCCGACTTGGACGTAGGAGGAGTTGGACATCCAGCCGAGGCTCCAACATGCTGCACCTCAGATCTGCTGTTTACTTCTATCTTGGCAGCAGGCCTCTGATTGGCTCACCTCTGTGTGAGGACGACACCTTTCCTGCCAACTGTGATTGGACGAAGGCCAGAGCTGCCCTGCTCTGATTGGCTGGCAGCCCAGGGCTGGTGTGTGGTGTTCAAACTGCTGTTTTCCTGTTTGATTTACAGCCTTAACGAACTGAGTTCAGGTGTTAGCAGAGCTAACATCAATAAAAACAGGATTAGAAACTAATTTGATCCTTCTCGAGCCTCTTTTTGGTTCCGTTTCCTCAGAAAAAAAGGAAGAAAATAGTATATTAACTGGGACACTTCAAAGGGGATTAGTCTAAAACGCAGACTGGGGTTTTCCTACAGTCCAAAGGTCTGAAGTATTTATGTTAAAGCCACATGTTTGACATGAAATCATCCAGTTTTTTTTATCAGCTAACTGTCTTTTGATGCTCCTTTTTGGTTTAATGGAGAATAAGGAAATGTGACAAGAATACAAAACTATAAAGGAGCTAAAACTTTAAACGGTGAAGATTCAATATAAATCAAACCATATTTCTTCTGAGTTTTTAAATCAGATCCCCATAAGCTTCATTTACTAATTTATTATCTTTAATTTCAACTGATTTCTTTATACCTATATCTCCTGTATGATTTTAACTTATCGATCCATTTATTCCTCCTAAACTGGTCATTTATTAGCTCTATTAGCTTCATTTCTGTAATTTACTTTACAAAAGCAGCTCTACTTTACTTTTCCAAGTCTCTGTTTTCTCATCATAGGTTAACAAATACAAACATATACTTACAAATAGTTAATTCAGCAAAAATAACCTTTTTGTGAAGGAGAACTTTAATGTAAGAGCGCCTGAGGGTTTTTGATCTGGTTTAAACTTGGTTTCGGTCTGGTTTAAACTCGGCTTTTTGTCTGGTTTAAACTGGGTTTTTGGTCTGGATTTGGTCTATTTTAAACTTGAATTTAGACTGGTTTTGCTCGGTTTAAATTTGGCTTTTGGTCTGGTTCAAACTTGACTTTTGCTCTGGTTTAAACTTGGCTTTTGGTCTGATTCAGCTCAAAGCTGGTCGCTGGTTAAAGACCCATAAAATGACCATCTTTGAATAATTAATTTACACAAAAACGCTGCATATTCTCTGTCACAGATTTTGTGATTCACATATATAATTCCCCATTTTAATTAAAGCCCCTGAATAATAAAAAGGGTGTTTAATCTGCCTGGTTTGGGCCTCTGCTGTGTTTCGGCAGGCTGCTTTAAGGATGACCGCATCGTTTTCTGGACCTGGATGTTCTCCACATACTTCATGGAGAAGTGGGCGCCCCGGCAGGACGACATGCTGTTCTACGTCCGCAGGAAGCTGGCCTACGTCACCGCCGACAACGGAGAGGGAAAAAAGGTTTGGTCTGGTTAGACTGGGCTTTGGGCTGGGTTAAACTTGAATTTAGACTGATTTTGGTCTGGTTTAAACTTGGCTTCAGACTGGTTTTGGTCTGGTTTAAACTTGAATTTAGACTGGTTTTGGTCTGGTTTAAACTTGGCTTTTGGTCTATTTAAACTTGGCTTTTAGTCTGGTTTGAAATTGGATTTGGTTCCTTTAAACTTGACTTTCGATCTGGTTTAAACTTGGCTTTTGGTCTGGTTTAAACTTGAATTTAGACTTGGCTTCTAGTCTGGTTTAAACTGGGCTTTTGATCTGGTTTTAGTCCGGTTTAAACTTGGCTTTTAGTCTGGTTTAAACTTGGCTTTTGATCTGGTTTAAAAATGGCTTCAGACTGGTTTTTAGTCTGGTTTAAACTTGGCTTTTGGTCTGGTTTGAAATTGGCTTTTGGTCCATTTAAACTTGGCTCTCAATCTGTTTTAAACATGGCTTTTGGTCTGGTTTAAACTTGAATTTAGACTGGTTTTAGTCTGGTTTAATCTTGGCTTATGGTTAAGTTTAAACTTGAATTTA